CCCCAAAACCCCAAAACCCCATATATCCAAATAAGCTTGCTTAAGATCAAATTGTTACAACTTTCATATAATTAAATTGTTTTATTTGAGAAATTCTTCGTAGGTAATATCTATAATTTCTCCGCTAGATTTTTTCCATTTTCCTTCCTGAAATCCCTTACCATTTTTAAATTAACCCTCAAACTTATCTCCTTAAGGCAGGGTAATAACACCCTTTCCGTTTTTAAGACCTTTTACCCATTCTCCTTCAAATTCAGCTCCATTTTTTAAGGTCAATTAACCAAAACCATTTCTTTAATCATCCTTAAAAAATCCGTCATAAATTTCCCCATGAAATACTAATTTACCCTTTCCAAATCTTTAACCTTTTCTAAACTATCCTTCATAATAAGATCCATTTTTAAAATAATCTCTGCACGTTCCGCAATCATTTTTGTCAATAATTTTTTCAAAAACTTAGCCCTCTTTATCCCATTTTATGCTAGCCTTTGAATTCGGATCATATATATCGCTAAGATTTCCTGAGGGAAAAGTTCCCACAATTTTCATGCCTTCCTTTAATGTACTAATACCCTTGTATAACCTATTATTGAACCAATAGCCAAATAATTTATCTCCTGCTTTTGTATATAATGTACCAAAGCCATGTTTTAGTTTAAACTAATTAACTCGGCCAATATATAAATCTGTGGCCTGCTCTAATATTTTTATATCCTACTAATTTGGATTATTAATTGTGAATAGAATATCTCTTAACTCTTCCAATGACTCTGCACTATCTAGGTCCTCGAGGAAATCAATAAATTAATCTTGAAATCCAACTCTAGATATTTTAAGTATAATTTAGGCATAAAATTTTTTACCACTAGATTTAGATTGATAGTTAAAAATCATCAGTACTCTTGGATTATCTGGGGAATTGATTTCATTTTTTACAAAAAGTATCTCACTTTGAAAATTAGTAAAAAAATATTTGAGAGAATCTCTTAAGTTGGCTAAATGGGTAAATACTATTTGCCCCTTCAATAAATCATATAGCTCTAATTCCTCATTCTTTTCTTTGTATAATCTATTCAATAGCCTAGTAGGATATATTAGATTAATCTGATTTTGGTATGCTAAGAATTATGACGCATTTGATTTAATAAATTCATCAAACTCATCATATAAATTAGTACTAATATAATCTAAAAGTATATTACTCTGCTCAGGAATATTTTCCTTAGCTTCAATGAATTTCTAATATTCAAAAATATCCATTACGTTTTTTAGATCATATTGAAGCTGGAACAGAAATGTGTTTTGCTTTTAAAACTGCTAATGGCTCTCAGTTATTTCATTTATATTCTTTAGTGTAAAATAATTTTCACTTTCTTAAATTTTTAAAGGCTCTCATTAGTTTTGTTAGAGGAATTCTTTGAGCAAAAGTTAATGCTTTAACTGAAGAATATCCACGAACGGTAGTTTATTCATTACAACATAGGTTAAGGCTGCATAGAGTACATCCTTAAAAAAATCTTAAAGCAAGGGATACTACTTAATGAGTTAAATGGTGATCTTGAAATGCTGGGTAAAAATGTCAGCAGTTTTCTAGGAATCTCTTTCAAAGATATGCCACTACATAAAATACTGATTGCAAATCTAATTCTTGGCGAGTATTGCCCATTTGAAAGGTTACTTATCAGGAGATGCACCCTATGCAGTTTGCTTATCATCTTTAGCCTGGAACGGATTTTCCTTTGTGTCCTTATCTACTTTATATCTTGAATCAATGATGAGTTTTAATTGAGTAAAACTATGAGTAAGAAATGTATCTCTCTTTGGTTCTATCAAATCTATTTCCTAATTAAGTTATCTAATAGAATATACAGAAATGTTCATTTAATATATTTTGAGTTTTCTCTAAGTACAGCCCATTATTGATTACAAAAATTTAATGAGATTAATTTCTAGAAATACTTTAAGAAATTTTGTTATCGATCTTACTTAACGGGGTTTTGGGGTTTTGGGG